GAGATCTACTCTGAATTGTAGATCTTGGATTCAAGAGTACATCCTCCCAGCATGCACTGCAATGCGGCCTGGGCAGGTGTTCCACTGGCTGGCCTAAAAGCATCACTGCTCCAAGCAACCAATTAGTTGCTTTCACAGTGTTGTCTCGGCTTTGGCAGAGCAGAAAGTCCCATGCATTGGACCTAGAGGAGGCATTGCTGCGATTTGTATGTTATTTACCTCTTGGCTTTAGTCCATGGCTAGAGACAGAGCTGTAGACACAGCGGAGGGTCTTGGAGGACTTGTTTCCTTTTGGGATATTCCAGCCTCCTTCTCTAAATAGTAAGCTTCCTGTAAAGTAAGGCGATGCTCAGTATATACAAGGAAAGCAAAGAGGTCATATCTGTCCAACTGTATCTAACACATGGATCTCACCGCTTGCCCAACTACACCCCATCTCAAATAAGGAAATGCATGGAGTTGCATAAATTAGCATGTGCCAATTTGTACATATGTATGGACATTTAGAAATGACAACTGCATTATAAATAGAAATAGCGGAGCAAACTGTGCCCAGGTGACCACTGTGTTCCCTCATTCTGTAGGATCTCACTGCTGATGGACAACTTCAAGGCCCCTGCTCTGCCTTCCTTTCTTCTGGCTCTTTATCTTTAAATCAGGCTTGAACTGGACAGCCTTTTAAATTCAGGATACTTGCAAATTGGGAATCAGGAATTGTACTCTGATAGTCCTTCAGACAGAGAACAGCCTTACCTTTGGCTGATTAATGTAATTGCACTGAGATAACTGATAAGCACCAGGCCTTTACTTTAAAATAATATAAACAAAACCATCATTGATTAGTACTGAAATACAGTTGGATAACTTTAAAAATACTAGTCTGTTGCATTAAGGTTCTTGCATTAAGGCTCTGCATAGATCCCCTCTGTATACCTTTGGGCCTTTTACTGCAACCCTCCACCCTGACCTGCCACCATCACCATGACAGCACCTTGGACCTGCTGGATGGTCCATCGATTTTCTTCTTCCCACCACTACCTCGCCTTTGGATTGCGCTCTAAAACTAAGAGTTTGATAGACCTGGAGAAAGGCCTTCATTAGCCCCAGGGGGGCAACAAAGAAGAGATGAGGCAAGGTCCTTGGCATATGGAATTACAAAGTTTTCATTGTCAGTGTTGAAAATTAAAACAAGACAAGACAAAAATTATAGGAAATTGGCTGCATTTCCATAAGTGTTCCTTTGATTCCTTGAAGATAAGTTCACATAATTTAATGAAGGAAAGTATTTGTCAAAGGAACAATTGGATTGTTAATGGATGAAGGCAGAGCTGAGCTGTTTCCTTTTAATCAGTGTCATTGCACTTCTAGCAATGGTCATTTTGTTCAACATTTGCTTTTTCCTGTCAAAAGGGTGGCATGCCTTTGTGCTGATGATGCTAATTGTACCCTAAGTAACAGCAGGGAAACTTCAGCATAGATATGCTTGAGCTTGGAAGCAAAGCTGACTTCATGCAATTGCTGCCAAAAGAAAAAGAAACAAGAGAGGAAATCCAGTAATACAGATGCAAATTTAAGCGTATGAACTCAACAGGGTAAAACATTTTCCACCCCTCTTCTTATATCTTCTCTCTACTTCCAGAACTGAATATTACCAAACTTTTAGAAAAAAAGATTATTAGAATATGCTGGAGTTGTAGGTCTCAGAGGGATCTGGATAGCAGTCGGTCCAAATCTCCCTGCGTAAAGACAGAATAAGGCCCATAATGCCTGCTTCTGCAGCAGTCCTTATGAATTCTATTGCAGGTGTGTTTGTCTTAACTGTGGCCTGGTTTGTATGTAAGCCATAGTTTCTTGAAACCATGGATTGTTGCCCTACTCAGGGTTGTCTAGAGGACAGTTGAACAAACATTGGTTTGTTTACTCATTCTCTGGGGATTTTGCTTCCCTTCTTCACCCACTCCCTCCCTGCATCCCAACTTTCCTTGCAGTACTGGCATGTAAAGAGGCCAGGTTTTTTGACCACTCCTGACCAATACCACTGTAGCCTGGTGAAATATATGATTCTGGGTTGATATGTAACAAAAAACCATAGCTTAAATATCCTGCAGTTCATAAACCATGGATTCATGGTTAATAACCCATATCTAATCCATGCGTCTGGGTTTTCCTTTAATGACAACAACCTGTGATCCAACAAACTATGGTTAGCCAAATCTCTGTCTCATGGCTCATTCCAGGGCAGGGAAAACTTCAAACCAAGGTGCTAGGGTTTGCCCTCTGTTACATTCTCAAGATCCATTTTCCTTTATTTTTAATCATTTATTCTAGTTCTTCTTTTACAACTCAGATGTACAGGTGCTCATGAGAACTAATTAGCTGAGGTCTGAAAAGAGGTGGCCATCTTCCTGCCTCTTCATCTCAAAACCTTAACCCCTCCCTGAAACTGTGAACAGATGCCTTGCTTTACTAATAGCTCATGAAGTCCCCTTTTGGCTTAGGAGTGGGATAATAGTACTTTGAATAACTTGGCCAAGGATGCCAGCCCAGCTAAAGGTTTCCATAACCTGTTTCCTGCCAGATGTGTAGGGTTGCAATTCCCATTATTTCCAGCCAGCATGGGAGTTGCAATCCAACCCTTCTAAAGGGCTGCAGGTTTGGGAAGTCTTTGCTAAAGGGTTAATCTAATCCTAGAAAGTAGTGAGCTCATAGGTTGTAGGTGTGACTGATCTCCCCTCCAATAATCTCTACCACACTTTATCTCCAGCAAGTGGTACTTCTCTTCACATAGATGCTTGTAACGGCTTTGGAAGGCCACTCAGATTGGAAGCCTTCTACATGTCTTGTAAATCTAGAAATGAGTGCTAATCATCAAGCTGCCCCTCCTTCTGTCTCTCCTGGATCTATTGCCAAGGAATTTCATTGAGTGGCCCCAATTGGTAGGATTATGAGGCAGGAAGAAAAATTCATCCACATTCTCCCCATCATCTATACATCTACAAATCTCTATCTCTTCCTTGTGTGTAATTTTAAGATGAAAAGGGCCCACCCTACTGCTCTAGCTGGGGTGTGTGTCTGCAGGTGGGTGAGGATCTGTAGCTTCCAGATGGTGTTGGACTGTGATTCCCATCACTGGCCACTGGTCATGCTCACTGGAACTGATGGACGTTGGAGTCCAGCAACAACTGGAAGACCGCAAGCTCCCTCCGACTTGAGCCTTCCAAGGGAAGCTTCTCTAACCCCTGTATCACTTTGTCCTTTTCTCCACCTTTACAAGATGTACAATATCCTTTCCGAGACCAGTGCGAGAAATCCTAATGTGGTTACATCACTGATTTTTTCAAAACAACATAGTGGGTATTGCTTGCTTCATTTTCTGACCTTTTGCTAATATACCCTAGTGTAGGCGTTGCATTTCCCACATCAGCACCAGCATACACTGACTTGACATTTTGGCTGAGCTGTTTTCCTAGTTATTCTTCGCATCAAACAGTGTCATGATTCCTTTCATAACTGTAGAAAGTTATCTTTGTTCTGCCTTATAGTTTAAAATGCAGAGAGAAATTTCCACAGGTCTCAGAAGAATCTGCCGCTTCATCCCTACTGAGAGTGTCCCCAGTCTGAAGCCAACTTTATCCAACATGCTAATCAGAAACGTTCTATAATCCTGGAAGGGTGCAATCCTATGGATATTCAGCCAGAAAAGAGGCCTGCAATTCCCAGCATGCCCCAGCTAGCAGCGATGTCTGGGGCATGCTGGGAGTTGTACATGCTTTTAGTTTTGGTTTACTGTCTAAATTGGCGTAAGATTGCACCTTGCGGCTTTGTCATGATGCAGGCATGTGGCTCAACCAGTTCTAGGCCATATTATCACATGAATGGCTTCTTGCTATGTTTGAATTGCTTTTCTGAATGGGAGGATATGCATTATGTGGTGTCTCTGCTCACTTATTTTGCTATTTGCATTTTGGCTTGTAAGGAACCTCCTTCACGAGTTCCAATTTCTGCTATAGGCAAAAGGAAAAGTGGTTTGCAAATCTTTTCTGAAAATAGGATAAAAGCCAATATGTTTATAAGAATGCAGATGAGACCTGTATTTTCAAATTAGTCATTTAATTTAAATTGCAAAATCATGGTGACAAAGGACGGCTGCCCTTAGGTCTTTCTCAGTTCACTGAATTGTCACTCCCTTTCTCCCTCTCTCTCTCTCTCTCTCTCTCTCTTTCATGCTGCATTTGTGCATGTAGGCAAGTATAGACATATTAACCTAAAGGTTTAACCATTCTACCCCATAGCTGCTAACATCTCATCTCAATCCCTCGCACCCTTTCCTCCAACATGACAACTCTAATGCAAGTGATCTTTGGTACACAAAGAAGTGCATTCATTAAAACGTTCCATTTCTAAAAAGGAAGACCTTAATAGATGTGGGCTTACTTGAGAAACAAGATGTCCCCGTCATTCCTTTCCCATTCTCAGGATATTGCTAGAAACCATCTATTTAATCATCTGTTCCTTTGCATCTGCAGGGTGTAGTACTCCGTGTATGGAGACTCTCCTTGAAAGTTTGTTCATCAGTATGCTGCTTTTGGCAGGCTTACATGTCACGAAAGTTCCACTCAGAAGAGGGAGGTGTCAGCATTAGGGCTGTAGGGTTGTGCTCGCCAGAGCAGAGTTTGGGGGTGGGTGGGATGGACAGCGCCCCCATCATCTGCCGCCACCTTGGCTCTGTCTATATGGTTCTTCAGTAGCTGCTCTTGCAACCTTCTCTGCTGCTTATCATCTGGAAGGGGATGCAGGGATGGTACAAGAGGACAGGAAGGAACGAGGTAAATAGAGGCAGCAGGAGCCTCCCCTCCAAGGTGAGGCAGCTTCAGTCCTGATCCCCGGAGATCCTCCAAGGAGTCACATCAGTTCTGTTGACCCAACCAGATAAGTTTTCACATTTATTTGTCGTTCTGTTGCTGTGTTCTTGTTTACCTTCATTTCATTTTTGCTTTCAGTTGACATGTGGTCAGTAGGGTGCATCATGGGAGAAATGATTAAAGGTGCTGTGTTGTTTCCAGGCACTGATCGTATCCTTCCTAGGCTGTGGGCTTCTCTAGATACCATTTTCATTCCCATTTATCTTCTCCCATTTCGAGTAGTGTATTATGGATCGGCTGTTACAGTACCTCAACAAATGGAATCGAAACTGCTGATAGACACAGCAGAACGTTTGCCCTGCATTTGATGTTCTGTAGACATTAGCACTTTCCTGTGTATTAGACACTATTCTGCACCAGTTCTGTGTTACGTTGGTTGCATCAAAGCACCCTTCCCCAGCCTGGTGTTCTTCTGATGTTTGGGCCACAACTCCCATCATCCATAGTCAAAGTCCATGCTGACCAGCAATGATGGGAGCTACACTCCAACACATCTGGAGTGCTCCAAGTTGGGGAAAATTGGCTTAAAGAGTGTCCAGAATATTTAAATAAAGAGATGAATAACAATATTAGTAAGGATGCTTTTGTATGGGAATACGTACATTTCATTTAAAAAACTCAATCTATTGAGTTTGGCTTCATTTTATTTTAACCTTTGGCCTAAGGTAGACCTCTGATAAGATTTCGTGCCATATCCAATGGAAACTGGCACCCCAATTGATGTGATTTGCCTGGTGCTAAAGTAGTTTATGTAATTTATGTTAGTAGCTGCATCCCTCTGGATACTGCACTAAGCTTACAATCTACACACTTACTTGTGAGTAGGTCTCATTGAACTCCATGCAATTATTCCCCAGTAGGTGTGCATGAAATCACATTTTAACAGCTCTAAACAAAAATGTATAGAAGCACATAGATGGCATTCACTTTGTGGTGGTTTAAATAACTAGGTTTGGGGCAGGATAACGGGCTATGTTCATTATCTCCAGCTTATGCTACACAGCAGATGGTTGATTCTGGCCTTGGATTCTGCTGTGACTCCTCAAGCGGGGGTGGGCAGGTTGGGAATTCAGTACAGAAACACTGCCGGCACCTTCCTTGCCTTGCAAAGAGTTGTGCGGATAGTGCGTCAGCACTGCAAATGTGGCCAGACCTGGAATTCTGAACAGCTTCCCACAGAATGAAAGCCCTGAGGACATCTCGCACCTGGGGTGGGTGAGTCAAGTGGCGATGAGTCACTGCTATGGCTCTGAAGAGACCTGGTGTGCATCGGCCTGGCATTTCCCCAGAAATGGTTTCTTTGGCCTTCACCAATGGGAATGCAATTCTGAATGATCTCTGTCAGGAGGGTCAACTGTTCTGATTGGAACCATTGCTGTGCTGCACATGACACAGCAAGAAAACCACGATCGATGCCACACAGAGCCACAGACAATCCCAGCTCTCTGATTCGTATACCTGTATGGAGGGCTGGCATCCAGTCTAGCAGGCTTGGGCAACCGCCAGGGCCCTGGGTGCCAACACATGTCCTGCCCCCACCAGCACTGATGATGCTTTGGTGTACCCACCTTTTCCCTTGGATGAAGGGTTATCTGACTGCAGCAACTTGGTGTAGGAGGCTGCCCTTCTTTTTAAACTTCCCGTGATGCTCCTGAACACTTAAACTGCAGGGCTTTATGAAAAAATCAAGCAGAGGGTGGCTTCTGGGGCTTATTTGGAAAGTAAGGTGTATCCATGCAAGGATGTTTTCTAGGCTTACCTGCAGGTCTCAGCAGAGACAGCAACTGGGTGGGGGGCATCTCCCTACAGTTCTCCCTCAAAGTGTGACACTTGCCCTCCCTACATGACCTACGTCACACCTTTTGCTTTTAGATCTCAAAAACATAGGCCAAAGAAAATGGATACAAGGGACAAAATTATTTATTTAATATTTCTATTCATGTAGAGCTACAGTAAGTCTTCCACCATAGTGTGGAAGTCTATGACCAGATTACCTGTGGGAGAGCCCATCTGGTCTGCTGCTCAGGTGCTGATGATGGCAGAAGGACCTCACAGTGCATTCTGTTTAAGCTGGAAATGGAAAGGTGAACCTTTTCAAATTGAGGAAAGCTTCCAGAAGAAGATAGTCCTCTGGCTGCTCTTCAAATAGAGGACTGCCCTTTGTAAAAGAGGAAACATGGGCATCATATATACTAGCTGTGCATACATCCCATTGAGTTGAGTAGAATATTTAAGCATACACCTATAGGATTGGGCAGTTAAGCTCACACATCTGAAGCATACATCTAAAAATGTAATGTGTCAAGGCCTAAAACTAACCACTTTTTCTGCACTGAAAAAACTCTCAAGCAAGCAGGATTGTCCTCATTATGGAAAGAAAATAAATACTATTTATGACACCAAGGTTTTTCTGCACATCACCTTTGAATCCCTTTCTTAACCTTCTTGAATTTTAAGCCAAAGTCCCAAATGAGAAACTGCAACAGGCAATTTTTGAACTATGGCCATCAAGTCCCAGTTGGCAAACTAGTTTCTACATTCGCTGATCACTGGCATTCCTTAAGTTTAATCTAATTCATGTTTTTATGCTCTACAAATCCCAGTTTTTCTGTGTAAACATATTCTAAACTGAGCCTGTCCTATCTCTGGGGCGGATTTAGTATATCACTGGGATAATTTTATTTTACAGAACATTTTCCTGCAAGATCTCTCCATGTACTAAAAGTAGGAAGGGGTAGGAAAGAAGTTCCAATCACAATGTGTATTTTATTTGCACGTTTGCACCTATACATTTTTCTGTCTGGCTTTATCTTTATGTTCATTCATACATCACATCACATTCATAATTCGAATGTCTTCCAGGCAATGCATTTTGTAATCCAGCCAGTTGTGCAAAAAAGACAACTTCTGAAGAATAGTTAGAAAATGTTGATGGATGGTAGCAGATTGTAGACAATGTGATGTCTTTTTTAAAAAAACCCCTGCTGAGGGAGGGTGCAGGCAAAGGTATTTAATTCAGGTGCAACCTTACACTAACACCTTAAGAATCCATTAGTAAAAGCTGCTATAAGATTGTGTGTACTGCATACAGAGTTAGGGCAGGATCCAGATGTAAGCCTTCTTGAGAAAATACCCTCTCATATTGCCTTAGAAACATAGAAACAGCGAGTCAGAAGGGGTCTCCCGGGCCATCTAGTCTGACCCCTGGCTCCAGCCGGCTTCACTCATGACATGCCCACCATGTGTATGTCTAGCCTATCCTTGAACACCCTCACTGATGGGACCTCAGCCACTTCCCGTGGAAGCCCATTCCATACCCTCAAGGTCTTACCTGTCAGGAAGTACTTCCTGGCACCTAAATGGAACCTCGGTTCCCTGAGCTTCACTCCGTTGGAGTGCGTCCTGCCCTCCTCTGCAGGGGAGAGCAGGTCTTTGCCCACCTCCGTGGGACACCCCCTCACGTACCTGTACATATGTCACCAACAGATCCCCTCTGAGTCTCCTTCACCAGCATATGGCCCTCTCTGGTGAGCTTAAAACTAATAGTGGCCTCCCTGCAGTCTGTAAGAGCTATCCCCAGGGCAGGAAACCAGCAGAGTTTCAGAGGAACAGGTGCAGGGACTAAGGAGTTGGGCTGCTTGAAAACCAATTCCACACTGAAACATTACAAGAAGGACCATTTTATGGACTTATTTTTGCCCTCTGTCAAATAACCGGCCAAGAACCCACTTTCCAGAAGGTGCCCACTAAAAAGGGTTGTTCATCCTCTTTAGCACTGCCACCTGCTTGCCTCTCACTTTGGCCCAGACTGTGATGAAGGAAGAGCAGAATCTGTAGCCTCATTTGCTCACTGGCCTAGTCTGCCTGTTGAGCAAGCCAGTTGGAGCATGGAGGACAAAAAGGAGGATGAAGTAGCAGCTGGGGACAGTGGTGGTGAGAAGGCAGACTCACTGAGGGCTGGGTTGCATTGAGGGCATCTTGCCTCAGGCCCTCAAAAATGTGGAGCGGGCATTGAGGTGTGGGACAGAGGTGATCCCAGAGCAGGCCTCCGCTATGGCAGGCCCTGCTCTGGGCTGCTGTGGGCACCAGCTGCCACCCAAGGATACCAGAATACCTCTTGCCTCTCAGACTGGAGCCAGTGAAGGGAAGGCTGTCTGCAGGGTATCTGTTTTGTTTTGAGGGGTAGCTTCTTTATTGACAATCCTATACAGTCACAAAGTTAAACCATTTACATTATGATACATCCAATATTCATCTTATTACACATACACTAGCTTCCAAAGCTTAAGCTGACCAGCATTCCAGCCAAATCCCCACTTGATCTTCTGTATTGCTTAAGTCCCTATCCCAGGCAAATAGTGGCTGCCATATTTTCATAAAATTATCTCGTTTTATTTCTCCCCTATACAGTCTATTCCAGTTAGTCAGTTTCTCCATCAATGCAACCATCTGTATTCTGTTCAGAAACCTTTTCAAGCACAGGGTATCTGTTTTCAACAGAGAAGTGGGCATCCACTTTAGATTTGCCGAAAGAAGAGGCAGTGCATCACCACAGAAGAGGGCTGTTGCTTGCACACATTTTCCATACGCAAGGTAATCTAGACACGGGTAGCATAATTTAAACAGAAATAGCATACATCTCATTGCAGTAGGGATGACTGTGACCTGTGGGTCTGTTTAGACTTCTGTTGAGATAATAACATTTGTGAACCGACCAGACAGCTATGGCCATTGGGCAGTATAGAAATGGAATTAATAATGATCATTGTTGTCATCCACTGCTTTCCAGGAACTGTTATCTTCAAGGCCCAGCTTTTCTTATGCTTACCTTTAGGCTGTACTTCAGTGTCCACCTCTTCCAATGCCTTCAAATTCAGCCCTGTTCTCTGACAGACCTTCTCACAGGCAGCTGTCATCTGTAGGACAGGATGCCTGCTCCCCTTCCACGAACTTGTGACCAATCACACCAACCAATGTATCACTCATACATTGTTGCTCAACCAATGGGAACGCCAATTGCCACCGATTTCAAAAGGCATAAAGGTAGGAAGAGGAAGAGCAGTTTCAATCCGTAGCACATAGCTGGTAGCCAGTGGCGAGTTTGGTGGAAGCACAGGCCATCTGTAATGCAGTTGTTGTTGTTGATAGTA